ATTCGAAGCCAAGTTACAGTTAGAAAAATATTTTTTTTTTAATTGCAAGTTATTTGTATAATCTGCTCGAAATTTTTAAATGACAAGATGTATTCTCATAATTGTAAAGGCTTGCTTTAAAATCGTCCGAAAAACTTGGTGCCTGCACGTAAAAATGTAATTTCCAACAAAGGTATACTTTATTGGTGAAATTTCAACGCGTAGCTCCATTCCTATAAAAAAGGAGACCAACAAACTTGGCCGGGTCAACGGCGGACACGTTCAGTGCCCGCCGCTGCCCCTGGCGAGTTGGTTGGTCTCACGTTTTTTTACCGTAAGGAAGCAACAACTCGAAATTTCACAAGGCCAAATGCACCACTAAAGCGCATGTTTAATAAATATCTAAGATGTATACGTGCAGCCGCCGAATTCTGAGCGAGCCTCGTCATTAATGTTACCCCACTTCAGCCTACAGCTGTGTGGGACTAGGTCCTAGAGAAACACGAAATCGGCCACACCTGTACTTTTTTTTTTAGTCTCGCGCCTGTTGAGAATGTAGCAAAAATTTTTTTTTACTCAATACATACTTAAGGACAACACATAAAGATGATTGCTTTCTCTTATTTAACCACAAGACTAGCAGATGCGGTCGTGGTAGTGAAAGAGCAGCTCCAATTTCACGTTCTGGGTGTGCACGTAGCAACAAACTGTGCAGCATAGGCACTTTACCTCGATGCTTTATCAATATTTGGAAGCTGTGGGCGATTCCAATGTTTACAACAACCAAAAATGCATACCGGCAGTTTGCGTAGCAACGCGAGCTCGTCACATTAATTTATTAGTAAACACAAACGTGTGCCAGTGAAACGCACCATCCCAGAAACGCCAACTCCGAGACGCTCGCTCTGCGCGGCACATAAGCGACACGACAGCATACCTAACCAATCTGCTGACTTGTATTTACAACCCCCCCCCCCCAAAAAAAAAAAAAATAAAAAAAATAAAGGAAGAAAAACATGAACCTTTTTTGAAGTGCCAACTGCAAACGCGGGAGTGCTTTGGAGGCTGCATTTACACACCGTCAGCATTGTTTCGCTGGATCGCCCGAATCAAGAGCTGCCGCTTCGTCGGGTGCAGCTTAGTAGAAGGAAACCCAAAGAAGCTTAAACCGCGACAAAGTTTGCTGTCGTTGCTGCAGCCAACAACGAAACAGAGTTGGGGAATGTCGGAGAACTTGGAAACGCGCGACTACCGCTGCCTCCAGCAGTCCCGAGCCGGACACACTACGCCACCAAAAATGGCGGACTCCTGTCTGCTACTGCTGCCCATGCGCCGTGGAAGCCCCGGAAAAGGCCCATTAAAAACTTTGTGGAATGGAAAGAAAATAGATTTGGTTTACCTATTCTTCTCTTCATTCGGCTCAAATAAGCGCCATAGTAACATATAATATTTTTTTAGTGTACGTGCAAAGTATTGAGAAAACATAGTTTTTGATTTTTCTTAATTTACTCAGGTGAGCCAATTTTTCCACAATTTTAGCGAATGCGTCCACCAACTTCTGGCACCTCTGTAGTAAACCCCAGCGCGATAAGTTAAGAAATTCAATAGACCCCTTTCGAAATACTGCCCCCTCTTGACAGCTGTGAAACTCCTGCACAATGGCGGACTAAAATTTCAACGTCACGGCACACTGGAAAAAACATACCCAAAGAAAAAAAAATGATGAGCGCAGTGACGTTGCACTTTTGACGCTTTTTGATTGGCTCGTCGGCTAGTAGTGTTGGCTGCGCTCCGACGTAAGCTATCTTATGGAATGACTTCAACGTTTCTCGATGCGGTTGTTCCGCCATTGTGCAGTGGTTCCGGCCTTCTCATAATCGGCACGTGACTTTCGAAAGGGGTCTATTATGCGGTCAGTTCAAATTGCGTTCAATCCATTTCGCTCATGCTGTATAATTGACTAATCAACTTTTTAATTAGGTGAAATTAAGATATACTTCCAATTATAAAATAGGTGAGCGTCATAGAAAAGCTTAGGCAAGTTTCGAACTGAAAATATATGTTTATTTTTACCAATAATAAAGAACTAGTCAGCTTTAGGCAATGGTTTTAATAAATTGTATGTTTCTTTGCATTCCCTGATGTCTCTGCAGTGACTGGCAGTTTGTTACAGAAAACAGTTTTTTTTAATCAACCTCCCTAGTTTTAGGAATTTTCGAAAGCTAAGCAGAAACATCCGGTATACTTGCGCGGAAGGTACGGAACGTTCCAGAAGAGCAAGGAAGAAACGAAAACGTTATCGTTGACCACGCTTGAAGCAGAGTCAGGCGAGCGTGAAACGACTGCGCATCCAAATGGACTACAACGCGCGCTAGGAATATGTGGTAAAAGTAAAGGAAATTGATAAGGTTGACTGCAGATTCGGGCCATATCTTATCTTTTCAAAGTCGAAATGCAATTTCTTTCTCCGATAAATTTTATACATGATGGTAATAAAAGTAAAGAAAGTATAGAGAACGTTGACTGCAGATTTGGGCTATATCTTAAGTGTCCTTTCAAAGCCGAAATATAATTTGCTTTCTCCGATAAAATGAAAATAAGATTATCATGATGATTAACGTTATTTTTATAAGTGTGGTGCCATGACCTCATTGGGGAAAGGGGAACATGGGAAGGGAAATTTCACATTCGGCGGTGCACTCGTGTCGAGCGCGCGAACTCCCATAGAGAGGGTGGCGTCTCCCTGGCACGTGCCTTGTTACCCGGTGTGGTCATGTCCTGTGAAGTGTGGATGCGAGGCCCCAGGTGTTTGGCTTCTTTTGTCCCGCAAGCGGGCACACTCCCGAAGGAGGTATTTAAAATATGTAAGTATTCACTGGGTCGTTCTATTTGAAAACAAACAGGCGTGTCAGGGTGGGTATTTTGACGCGATAATAAAATATTATAGCCCCATTTTCGCAATGAGAAAAACCACTCTTTAAGATTTTTTTAGAACAATTTACTTTCTCCACGAAAATTTTTAAAGTTAAGCAAAGTTAAATGCTACATTTAGCCTGCCTGATTTTCGTACCCACTTCTTTCGGTTGTTATGAATAGGTGAAAGAGAATAACCTCGCACTAATTTTTCTTGAAATAGTATGACGCATGGCATATTTTTTTTACTTAAATTAATTTAATTGGAATATTTGATGCTACAAATAAGAAAATGCCAACTATCGGATTTTTGACGTTTTGGTGACACATTTGGAGACTTGTAGCTTAAGATTCATCGTAGATTTTGCTTATGAAATGCTAGACGCTTGTATAGTATTCACGAAATAATTTATATAAATATATAAATTTTATTAGAAATATAATTAGTCATAGTTTGAAACAGCTTTATTAAAAATGCCATTTTTCTTTTCCCTTTTTTTTCAATCATGTTAACTTAATGTGGGCATAATAACCGCCCCCCTCCCTTCCCCCGCTTTCTATTTTCTTCAGAAGTGCTCAAACTCTCACTCGTCAATATATGGATTTATATTGATTTAGGAGCTAACAGGGAATAGTCGCGAAATGAAATAATTCAACAGTCGTGTTTTTTTTAGTAAACTTATAAACACAGTGTAAATTTTAGACAGAGAGGAAGGAAGAGCAGACTAAAAAGCAGAACGTAACCTGCGATTCCGGTGGTGCATGCATGCGAATAGATCACAGAGAGGATAAAGTTTTGTAACTTAAAAAGGTCAAATATATTGTTTATTTTAGTAAATATCCTCCAAAGTGGTAATTTCTGGAATTCAGGGTTTGCCTTCTGCGAAATTTCCTCGCAGAAGCCCGGAGCTTCAAGGAAGCGTTTAATCCGAATATTCACCCGATGATCTGCCATAGGTTAGATGAGCCTGGGGGCACTGACGATTTTTGAATACTCCAAAAAGCCGATCGGCCTACTCTAAGTAGTTAAATTCAAAAATACCTCAATACAAACGTAAAAAGAAATACAAGACCAGTATCAGGAGTGCAGTTTCGAGAAGAAATAGGGGCAAGGCTGACAATATTGTTGCCGAAATCGGTGCCCAGATTGTAGTCCAACTGAGATCGCATTTTGCATCTCATTGTACTGCATAAACTTTTTTTTTTATTAAACTGCTAAGTAATTGCTGTGGAAATTATACGATGATTTTTCGTCCACGTCCATGAAGTCTACCATTACATTTAATACAAATTAGCATGCATTTTTGTTTTAACTGTACTCAAATCACAGATGGGCCTCTGGCGACCACCCGGACACTTTTGCTGTAGCGTTACTGCAATTCAAATGTTTACCCGATGTTATATAGATATAATTATATCAACATAAATATAACGATGGCATTGATAACTGCATTTGCCGTTCAGGAGCTAATTTATCATATCACATTCCTCGGTAACATTACCATTTGTGCGCATAATTAGAGTATGTATTTAACTAATGCATGCCCACCTGCTTCGCTTACAAACCAATATACAGATGCGAAAGGGGGCAGGGATTGCTGAGAAATGCTATCGCATTTAAAAGCAGCGTTATTCGTCAAACTCCACTCGAGCGTACCCTTCGCAAAATGGAAGAGATGACAATAAAAACAAGCACGAAACGAATGAAAAAAAAAACAAAAAAAAAACCGTTTCCCCTTTGCTCGGTGCCGAATCTTCCGGCCCGTATGAGGGGGTCAGCCACTTTGGAAAAGTTCCGAGAACGCTCCGTGTTCCTGCTACAAGACGGCGTTATCGCACCGTTAACTCACTTCCCGTCATAGCGGTGTTCGGCAACTCCTCCGCTGCTGCGTACTTGCCCTGTTTGGAAACAACATGTTTTGGCGCGGGGCGCTGGCGCGTAACTAAGATACCCCGAGGAGGGGAGAGACAACGCCGAGCGTTACGCAATCATACAAATGACGACACCGTCGTACAAAGAAAACAAATGAAATAAACGCAAATTTAACTTCGCCGTCTAATCAGCGTTCTGTCCGTGAATTTGTGGTGTCTTTTTTTGTTCCTTTCAGGGGCTAACGCTGACGCTGGTGTTAGCCGTGCTGTCCTCGGCCGTCGGTTCGGCGTTTCACCATGGGTATCACCTGGGAGTCGTCAACTCCCCGCAGCAGGTAAAGTGGCATGAAACTTATACACACCTCGGATGCGCTTATCACCCGGGCGAGGAGCGCCGAGCCACTGGGCTGTGTTCACGCGTGCAGGTGGCGTCTGATATTCGCAGAATGCTCAGAACGCCTTTCATAGCGGACGAAGATGGCAGCGAGCAAAAGGCGATATGAGCCCGGTGTATTCTGTTCCGCTGTACATAGATCGATACGGAGTGCAAGTTCGTCTGTTTCTTGCGCATGGGCAACGTTATTCGATTAGGGGCCCTAAACCCGTCAAACACAAAGTTGGGGCCGAAAGTTCGCCGAGCGCGTCGATTGAACGCCGGCGAAAAAAACGCGAAGTCATCGTCGGGATAGTTCAATCGGTGCGCTCAGTGAACTTCGGCCCGAACTTTGTGTTTGAGGAGTTTAGAGCCCTAGCTCGGTTTCGGAACTGCTCATAGACGCTGCTTGCACGGGCAGCACTCCGCCCCCCCCCCCCCCCCCTTCCTCCCCCCCACCTCACTAACCACGACTCGCCCCCAGTCGTTCGACGCGCTGGACGGCCGCTATGGTAACTGCAGTGTATTCTATGGAATACGTACCTTTCTAAGCACAGCGTCTAGGTGGCGTTCCAGCTCTGCTCTATGGAACGCAGAGTTATTAAACGAAAATCTAGATGGCGCTTCAAAGGACGGGAGGCCGGGAGGCGTACTGAAGTCGACCCCTTTCCGCGGAGGTCCACAACTGAGGTAATCTAGTAACGTTGCACACGGGTTACGGTGACGTCCGAACGCCGAGCTCTAATTGGCTCCGATCGGAAGGATATTGGGTAGACCCCGAGGCAGCTAGCTTTGATGTCTACCCACTATCCTTTTAATGGGAGCCAGAGCTCGAAGTTCTGACGTCAGGGCAACCCCTGCGCAAAAAGCAGACGAACTTGCGCTCCGCATGTCAGCTAGAATACAAAACCGGTGCATCTCCCCCAAACGTCATCACTAGTTGGCGCTGCCGCCAACGCGTCGTGCAGCGTCTCCCAAAGCGCGTGACGATGGCACGCGGCGACGCCAAGACGGACGCGCGTCTGCAGTTTTGTGGTGACCCTCGTCGAGCTTCGCGTGTTTGCCGCTTAGGGCGGGTCGGGTAAATCCAGCAATGATGACGTCATGTGCAGGCATCGTATTCTTAGATGGTATTGTCTTGATCCGCCATTTTGATAATTACTCCGTTCAAGTCACGTGATGTGTGTTTGCTTGCCAACAGCTCGTGGGAGTTGCCGTTTTGTTAGACATTGCTTCGTGGAGTCTTTGGAAGAGTAGCGTGTCTCATAAACCTAATTATTTGATCGTTATGATAGGCGTTGGGAAACTGTACACTCCGTTCAGCCCTAAGCTGACACTTTTCGAAGCCACGTGCTCGTTGGGCCAGTCATGCACCTATTTTCCGCCACGTAATCACACTCTCGTTCATGTCCACGCGCAGAGAGCGATGTCCGGGGATGAAAGGGTGACGGTTGCCCTGTCAGCTTAGGGGTGAATGGAGTACTAGGATGGTGTCGTACGTGTTCTGTCGTGCGCTGTTTCGCCAGACTGGAGGACAGAAAACGCGTCCTGCGTTTTCAGCTAGTAAAGTCGGCGGTAGCCGGAGACATCTGACAACCAAGCATGGCCCAACAAACAGAACTTTTTAACGTAAACCGCTTCTTTTGGAGAAACCTCCGTTGCGCGAAGCGGAGTTACAGCCTTGCCTTGTGGCGCTTATTTCAAGCAAAACTGGAAGAGGCTAGTCGCGGAGGGGGCGGGAGAGGTATTGCAATGCCGGAAGCAGTTCGAGTTTCCACCGCTGCGTGAGATAGGCTTGAACGTGCAAAGAACTCTTTTCGAAAAAGGTTAATAACATTATAGGCCATAGTGCAGAACAATGAGATAGGCGCAATGAGCCGCAGTGCGCAACCCGGCGCAGCCAAAGCAGCACAGAAGCCAGAGTATCCAGATGGAACACAACGCCAGGGAAAGTGACATCGTGAGGGTACGGTGGTATGACGAAAAAGAAAATTTTAGTATGCGGATGCGAAATTCTTCTCTTTCGTTATGAACCGGCGGGCTCTCACAACCTAATACCACCACACCACAATAACGCGGCTAGCTACTGTGTTCTCGAAGGGAGGGGGGGAGGGGGGAGGAGGATTGGAACGGCTTCTACTGAGACGAGATTTCTACAGGGTTGCTTTGCAAACCACCATTTCACTTCTGCAAAACAGTGGTGGTGAAGCTTTTCCGAATATTTAACGCGTAATGAGTGTACGGACTGGGATTCTTGAGGGAAATGTGAGGAATGCCAAAGGAACCGTTACGAAATCTGCAGCAGGTACTTCATATAGCTATTTGTGCAAAAGAAGGGTAAATTGGGAAGAACGAAATTCTGAACGCGACCTAACGGGAATGGAAGCAAGGACAATAACTGTTGGCTTGTCGTTCTACAACTGCGTCAATTAGCGGGTTGACGCGAAGCTAGCTGACCGTCTGTACCACGGTGGTCTCTACCAACAGTTGGATCGCGAACGTGACGGACGCCGGCGTTTGGTGTTAAGGCATTCCGCGCTTGGCGTTCGCGTTCTAAGGGTTTATGGGAGGAAACAAGAAACCCAGGACGTGCCCACCATCACACGAGAAAGAGCAGAGTGTAAAATAAAATAGCGTGCTATTAAAAAATAAAAAAAAACCAGACATCTGCAATGTTCACTGCATGCCGTGAAGAAGGCCGCGGAACACATTCTCTGTTTACAGCTTTATCCGTAGGATCAAGATAAATGAAGCACGTTATTTTATTACGTTCTTTCATCCTAAGGATTAATTCTTACTCGTTTTGAAATGCTTTATTAGTCTTGATTTTGATGTTGGTAAGGATCAAAAGATTGGCGTGCCGCTCCGCCGACGACTGTTATGAAGTACAATAGATAAGGCGCTTGCGTGGTAAAGACATTTGCGTACTTTGTTTGTTTTTTTCTCCTAAAGAAGTCGTAGTAGAATATCCGCAGGGGGTCATTTTCGCTGCCAATAAGTAGGCTGCTCGAGCGACGTCTTGTTTTAACTCAGAATAACGAAAAAACATTATAAAGGCGAAAGCCTTTTATGTCTCATCGTTCTGTCGACCTTCAAAGTACTTGAGCGAAAACACGTCGGCGACACGAAAAGTACCAAAACGAAAGGTACCAATGAAACACTCTAAAAAAAGCCCGTGTGTCTACTTTCCCGCACAACACTCGAAGGGACAATCACCGCAAAGTTCTGAGGCAGCTCAGCGAATGACGATGCCGAGACATTTGTTTAGTCCAGAAAACGCACTCTGAATTGTGACATTGAGCAATACAAAACTTCACGCTTACGTTGCTTAACATCACAACTCAGAGTGCGTTTTTTGGTCTAAGCGTATGTTTCGGCAACGCCATTCGCTGAACTGCCTCTGTTAGTTACGGTGATTGGCTCTCCGAGTGTTGTGCGGGAAAGGAGACTCACGGGCTCTATTTAGAGTGAACGGCGTCAAAAGTGCGCTGTCAGAGAGCGCGCTGTTTTCGGCAGTTCGCTATCACCAGGACAACAATTGACGCCACAATCCGAGTGAGCCAATGAAACGGCACAAAAAGTGCATCGTCAGAGAGCGCGCTGTCTTCGGAGGTTCGCTATCACGTTTACATCTGCGCTTGGGCTTTCACCTTCAAGCCGTCTTAAGCATAACATAAGAGACCCTGTGAATTTTAAAGAAATTAGGTACTATGGTTTGTTTTACTTTATATGCGGGCGAAGCCAACGGCTTACGAGCTGCAAAACACTGCCTGTGCGCTCAATAAAACATAACGCGGTTTAAAGGAATTCCCGTAAGAATTCGATCTGGCCACGCGCGCGTCTCGTGAGACCGCCCCCTGAGAGGCTACTAGCCTGTGAACGTGAAAAAAAAAAAAAAAATGCGGCCGTATCGCTGTCATCGATACGTACAGGAAGCCGTCGTATAAAAACGAGCACATTCGGCACACGTCGCAAAATTCGAATTCCAAACGGACGTACCCTAGGATGGCAAGTTGGTATCTTAAAGTGTAGGCAGCTTCATTTATTGCTACGGGTTAGCCTCATGCACTTTAGGACACATTTGTAAATACGGATTGACTAGTAAAGAAAAAAAAAGAAATGCCATGAGCGAATCGCACTTCCTAATCCGCTTCGAATCATGTTAAATGCTCCGTCGAAGATTAGGATTTCTTGTTAACACATTTTAATTTATATAATTATGATATTGGCAAACCACAGTCCTGGAAATATTTCCAGCTCGGCTTAAAGTGGCACTAAATCAAATTATAAGATCGTCTTTCTATGGCGCAAACTCAATTTACGCACCCAAAGTTTTCTGTAAAAAACAACAACAAATGTAACCATGCATGAAACTTTTGATTATAACACAACCAGACATCGTGCCACGACTTCTTTTAATACACCCCAGAAAATTGGCATATTTTTATGTTTGGTCAGGGTGTATATATAAAAAAGGCCCCGCATGAACGTTATTTCGGGCTTTCTAGTCTGCCTTGTGAGCTTAAATTACGCTTGCGCCATAAGAATGCTATCAAAACACAATTTTGTGTTAAAGGGGCACTGACACATCAAAATCATATTTTTTTTTATTATCCGAAACGATTGAAAACGATGCCGGGACATTACCCTCAAAATTTGAGATTTGGGAATTCAGTATTCGTGAAGTAAAAAAACAATTTCCAAATGCCGAATTCGAAGTTCCCGCGCGATCGGCGCCGGTGCCTTGACGTCAAAAATTGAGGAGACCTGAGAGTCCACTTCCTTTCACCACTCCCTGCTGTTGCCCATGTTGCCATGGCGACCCAAAGCGAGGAGGAAAGGAGCGAGCGCAAGCGAACGCCGGCGGACCGGTTTTGAGCGGTGTCGCCTGTTTTCCGTTGGAGGATACAAATCCAGGAGACGGCACCACAACGAACTCCCGATTTTTGGTATTTCAAAAAG